GGCCAGTGTCCCTTATTTAAGGGGGGTATTTAAGGAAGACTTAAAAACCCATCTTTCTCCCTCCTGTGTGACTCAGTGTGAGTATCTGCCTATGCTGTGTGTGACTATTTGATGACTGTGATGGTTTGCAAGTACAAGGGAAATGGATCTGTGTATGTCATGAATGACTTTTCAATGATTTTGAAGCATAAGTTCTCTTTATTGCAATTTCCAGTGTGAGAAAGTATATTAGATTACAGAAAAGCATTTAGACAAAGAATGACATTGGGCATACAGGCATACAGATTCTATGCAAATACATTGGATTCACAATTACATTGGTTAACAAGCAAACAAAGGGGAGTTACATTTTAACTCAACATTCACACACATGTACACGCATTCATCCACATGCATCCAAATATTCCCATATTCTTTTCTCCCTCCTTGGAGAAGCACCTCTTAGGCCAGACCCTGCTTTCCTGCAGCCTGCCAACGCATAGTTCCAAAACTTCCGTAACGACATAACTTCAAAACGCTGAAATGCCAAAACTTCCTTCCCTAAGCACAATACCAAGGACCAGATCTCTGTTTTCCCACAGCAGAATTTTTATTTTATTTGGAAGTTTTCTATACCGGTCTTCTCACCTCTACGAGGGACTCAGGCCGGTTTACAGCATATATGCAAATTACAATAATATACAAAAACAAAGTACATCAACATTACAGATTAAAATAGTACAGTAAAACATCATCATCTTATTACCCAAGCCAAATCGTCATACAATCACAGTCATAGTCATAGTCACAGTTCATCCTCCTCCTTCCCATGTGGACGAAGGTTATGGGATCAGTCCTCGAAAGCCACGTTCCAGAGCCAGGTCTTTATTAGTTTCCTGAAAGTCAGGAGGGAGGGAGCAGATCTAATCTCTAGTGGGAGGGAGTTCCAAAGCCAGGGAGCCACCACCGAGAAGGCCCTGTCCCTCGTTCCCACCAGACGCGATTGCGAAGGGGGTGGGACCGAGAGCAGGCCCCCTCCGGAAGATCTTAATAACCTTGATGGTTCATAGGGGAGAATCCATTCGGACAGGTAGACTGGGCCGGAGTCGTTTAGGGATTTATAGGTCAGCACCAGTACTTTTAATTGTGCCCGGAAGCTAATTGGCAGCCAGTGGAGCTGGCGTAACAGAGGGGTCGTATGATCTCTGTACCTCGCTCCTGTTAGCAGTCTGGCTGCCGCTCGTTGGACTAGTTGAAGCTTCTGAGCAGTCTTCAGAGGCAACCCCATGTAGAGAGTGTTGCAGTAGTCTAGACGGGATGCAACCAGAGCGTGGACCACCATGGCCAAGTCAGACTTCCCAAGGTACAGGCGCAGCTGGCGCACAAGCTTTAACTGTGCAAAAGCTCCCCTGGTCACCGCCAAGACCTGGGGCTCCAGGCTCAGCGATGAGTCCAGGTTCACTCCCAAGCTGCGAACCTGTGCCTTCAGGGGGAGTGTAACCCTGTCTAGCACAGGCTGTAACCCTATGCCCTGTTCGGCCTTGCGACTGACCAGGAGTACCTCTGTCTTGTCTGGATTTAGTTTCAATCTGTTGTCCCTCATCCAGTCCGTTACAGCAGCCAAGCACCGGTTCAGGACCTGAACAGCCTCCTTAGTAGCAGGTGGGAAGGAGTGACAGAGTTGGACATCAGAACCTGACTCCCTGCACAAAACCTAAGCCTCCAAAAGCGCCCTTCTTCCTCTTCCCTTGAGAAAGAAACCCCAAAGTGACCAGACTTCTCCCGTGCAAATCTGCCACTGTCCGAATACACCACCTCTCTCCCATGGAGCAGAGCATGGTGAGTGTACAGTGTCTCTGTCTGTCACACTTTGAGCATTATTAGACTGAGTCTTTATACATGTTGATGTAGTCCCAAAGTTGTAAATTAATGATAGACGTCTTCCATCCTTCTATCCTCAGTTTCCTGGCCAGATGTTGATCTTCTTGATTGGTGTTGACAAACACAAGGCTTGTGTTGACTTCCTTCTTAACATAAGGAATGTTGCAAACATTTCCTTTATCACTGTCCCAGTTCTTATCAGAGTTCACTCTTCAGATCTCATTAACAGGTTTTAATCGCAAAGCAGCAAGCAGGTAGTTAGTCGTTGCAGGCCTTAATATTATCCTGGTGTTTCCAAAATTATTAGTTCCATCCATACATCCTTCCATTCTTCCATTCATTCCCACACATCATTATTAAATTCACATTTCTCAAATCTGCACATTGAATTTCTTATTACATATATCCTGTACAGTGTACATATTGCAGTGATGAAGATTGAAGTCTCTGGATATTTTGGATGAAAAGCTGAATCCATGAGTTTACTGAACAATGTGTGTTGTAGATAAGGCCAGATGTTGGCAGTTAAACTCTGCAAATAGACAGGGTGAAGCACGTGTGTTTGCTGTGAAAGGACTCTGCTGTATTTTTTTCTTGCTTCTGGGACACTTGCTATCCAGCCTGCAGAAGTTCAAGGAGTTTGTGATTTGGAAGCTGTAAATCACTTCACGCACCAGAATCCCATGAGACATTTGCCCCAAGAAAGAGGCCAAGTGCTTTGGGTCCGTTGTGCACAAAGCGAGCCTTCCTTATGGCAGCTCCCAAAGCTTTTCTGTGTTTGTGTCAGGGGTCTTCGTTTAGCACTTGAGGAGCTGCTGACAGACGAAACAAACGGCAGGCTCCCTTCTGAGGAGTTGCAGGCCGGGGATGTCTGGCATCTCCTCCTTTGTGTAAATCATAGGAAGCAGCTGGCAGCCAGGCATCCAGAAGATAAGCTCCGCAAGATGGGCTGAGACGAGCCCTGAACCCAGTCTTTTGAGTGGTTAGGCTCAAAAAATAACCTTCACTTGGGGTGATTCCTCCATAACTATAGCAGAGTGCCAGAAACACACGTCATAACCAGCAGAAACTTACATGTGGTGAGTCAGGTTTAGCTTCCATTCATCAGAATGGCACAGGATTGCAGAGACAAAACTTCAGGCCCAAAATATTTATTCAAGAAAAGAAATCCATTCTAGACTCCGGCCCAATTTGCCTGTCTGAACAGATTCTCCCCTTTTTGTTGTTGTTGTTCATTCGTTCAGTCGTCTCCGACTCTTTGTGACCTCATGGACCAGTCCACACCAGAGCTCCCTGTCGGCCGTCACCACCCCCAGCTCCTTCAAGGTCAGTCCAGTCACTTCAAGGATGCCATCCATCCATCTTGCCCTTGGTCGGCCTCTCTTCCTTTTGCCTTCCACTTTCCCCAGCATAACTGTCTTCTCTAGGCTTTGCTGTCTCCTCATGATGTGGCCAAAGGACTTCCACTTTGTCTCAAGTATCCTTCCCTCCAATGAGCAGTCGGGCTTTATTTCCTGGAGGATGGACCTCCCCTATGAACCATCAAGATTGTTAAGATTGTCTGGAGAGGCCCTGCTCTTGGTCCCACCATCCTCGCAAGTGTGCCTGGTGGGGACGAGGGACAGGGCCTTCTCGGTAGTGGCCCCTCGGATCTGGAACTCCCTCCCACTGGAGATTAGAACTGCCCCTTCTCTCCTGACTTTTAGAAAACAGGTGAAAACCTGGCTCTGGAAACTGGCATTTGACGAGTGAGTCAATAACTCGTGGCTATATGGATGGATGGTGATGAACAACGATTTTACTGTGACGACTTGGCCATTGTAATTATAAGATTGTATTTTTGGTATTTTAATGTGTTTAATGTGAAGGATACTAGAGACAAAGTTGAAGTACTTTGGCCACATCATGAGGAGACAGGAAAGCCTAGAGAAGACAATTATGCTGGGGAAAGTGGAAGGCAAAAGGAAGAGGGGCCGACCAAGGGCAAGATGGATGGATGGCATCCTTGAAGTGACTGGACTGACCTTGAAGGAGCTGGGGGTGGTGACGGCCGACAGGGAGCTCTGGCGTGGGCTGGTCCATGAGGTCACGAAGAGTCGGAGACGACTGAACGAATGAACAACAACAATGTGTTAGTGTATTACGGAATGTGATGTTTTTAAACGATTGTTTGTAATACTGTTGTTTGAAACCAGCCTGAGTCCCTCCACGGAGTTCTAAATAAATAAATAGATAGAAAAGGGTCTTGGAGAGAATTAGCTTACTAAGCTCATCTCCTAAGGAAGGTAAAAAAGGCTAAAAAGTCAAAATATCCATGCAGCTACATTTTGCCTGGAGAAAGGCAAAATGTGTCCTATTGGAAGGAAGACAAAGGCAGAGATTGGGCAATAGAGAATCACCACATGGCCAAGCCAGGGCAGTAAAAATACCTTTAAAAAGGAAGTTACTTCATCCCTCACAGAGATTTCATTGCTACATCTTCAAAGGGGGACTTTTTATCCTTTTTTACCTTCCTTAGAGGATGGGCTTAGTAAACTAGTTCAGCTCCAAGACATTTTCTATTTAGAATGGATTCTGCATGTTTCATTCAATGAGAGTTTATCAAGAGGTGTAGGTTTAAGACATCCTGTGATTATTCTGCATGTTTCATTCAACACAATGTTCCCCTGCTTTGCATGGGCAGACTTGTGCCAAACAGGGCAGGCATACTCGGCAGTTGAGTCAGACAAGGCCAGGGCTGATGTCCTTACTAATTTTGGGCCTGCACCCCATGTGCTGCCAGTAAGTTTCCGCAGGATGTTATTGCGTGCAGCTACTTTGTGCTTGGTGTTCAAGCAGTGTTTCCTAAATGCTAGCGTTTGATCTAAGGTGACACTGAGATATTGGTAGCTTCTCCTAGCTCACCACACATAAGTTTCTGCTGGTTACGAAGTGTGCTTCTGACACTCTGCTATATTTATGGAGGAATCACTGCAACTGAGGGTTGTTTTTCGAGCCTAACAACTCTAATTCCCAAAAGTAGTTGATGTGTTGTCAAACTGCATTAACGGCACAGTGTCGATGCACCCCAAGTCCAAAACGTAATGACACCCAAAAGCATTGGTTCCCCCATTCATTGCTCTACCTTTCTTGTCTTCAAGGAGGAGAGGAAGGAGGAGAGGAAGAGGAGGAGAAGATGCAGAACGGGAAGGACCGAGGTGAGGTTTCTCTCTGGCTTTGGGGGCCAATGGTGGGTGCATTTCCTTCCAGGTTGGCAGAACGCCCATTCCACCTAAGAGTTTTTTTAATCTTGGTGGGGACACAACCAACAAGGCTCTGCCTTTGTCTGATGGAGGAGTTATTTGTTGCAAACCAGAGCAGGGAATGAGGCCCTAAGATAACTATCCACCACACTTGACTGTGAAAAACAATCCTTTTTTATTGAAGAAAAATGGTTACAAAATAAAGGAAAAATGCAAGTCAAAAGCCACAGCAAAATCAGCAAACATGAATGTAAATGGACAAAAACAAAACCCAAAGCCACACTGTAAAATACTGGAACCTGTTAGCAATCCACTAACCGTACTTGATATCCTAGAAATCTTTCAAAACCATGGCCAGGGGAAACTGGGAGAACTGCCAAGGTCTTCATTAAGCTGAAACGATGCCTGAACTAAGAAAGTCAGCCCGGCGGAAGGCAATTAAAGCCAAAGAATTGGTTCCGTGAGCCGCCCCTCTGCTTTGAAGCCAGTGTTTGTAATTCTTTAATTCGGGAAGACCTTCGCAAGCTGAGTGATTTACTTCTGTCTTGCCAAATCTGGCCCCTTCTGTTCTCATTAAAGTTACCAGGTGCAGAAGGGAGGGAAAGGTCATGGCTTCCCTCTGAAACATTCTCAGGAACACTGGTACTTTCATTTTCCAAATCTACAGAAGTTCCTTCCTCACTAATTTCAGCAACATTGGCATTTTCCAAACCTACAGCAGTTTCTTCCTCACTAATTTCAGGAGCATTGGCATCAAGAGGTACATTTCCATTAGCATCAGTAAATATATTTTCATTAGCATCAGGAGGAACAAACAGAGAATCAGGTTCAAGTTCAAACTCAGGCTGAACCCCAACATTATTAGAAGGAAGGTCTGTAGCATTGTTCGCAGGATAAGCTAGGACAATGACTGGGGTCTCAGTGGATATTTAGCTTTACAAGGGACAGGAGATGGATATGAAATGCACATAAGTCACACCTGGCTTGTAAACAGTCCATGGGAAAGGTATCTAGGAGCCTGAGTGTTGCATTCCAAGGCTGGGGACCACCTCTGTACTTAATACAGACCCCAGGTAAAATAGCAAAACACTTTATTGAAAAATAAATATGAAAAACCAATTCAGCAAAATAATATAAAAAAACAAAGTCCAAATATCAGGAACAATCCACAGAAATCAAAGTACAGGAGTAGCATCAAAAACCAGGAATACAACAGCAGAATCACTCTAAAAGACAAGATTCAGAAACAGTTCTCAAAAACTTGGAGTCCTGAGGCATGAACAAAAGGAAACATGAAACTACAAATCTCTTGCTTTGACAGAAGTTCTGTACTCAAACACCAACGTTGCCTGAACTGGCGAACCCATTTGTTGGTCCTGCTAATATTGACAGAAAACCATGCCTTCTCCCCTGGGAAAGACTTCTTGGCTATTAGGCGTCTTAACCTTTGTAACCTTTGGCTATTAGGCGTCTTAACCTTTGTAAAGTTCTTCCGAGAAGCTCTATGTTGACGAAACGTAAATCTCCTATCTAACTGCTCATTAGTTTGTCCATCTGGACTTCCATTTTCATCCTCTCAGCTCAGTTCTGTTTCTGACCTTGCAGCATCAAGAGGACTCTAGTGTCTAGATCAGACATGGGCCAACTTGGGCCCTCTAAGTGTTTTGGTCTCCAACTCCCACCATTCCTAACAGCCTCAGGCCCCTTAAGCAGCTGAGGGGGAAAAGGAAGGGGCCTGAGGCTGTTAGGAATGGTAGGAGTTCGAGTCCAAAACACTTGGAGGGCCCAAGTTGGCTCATGTCTAGTCTAGATTGAGAGAAGTCACAGTCCCACTCTCTTCTGCTTTGGTGAAACCTCACCTGGGATATTTTCCGTCCTCCAAATCCCACTCCAAAGCCCTGCGTCAAACCCTTGGGGGAGAGCAAAGTAAAAGTGGGTCAGTGTAGGGCCTCCTTCTGACCCTCTCTGTCTTTTTCTCTCTTGGTTGCCCTCCAGGGTAGAAGAAGGACCTGGACTGGCCAGCGATCCAAGTAAGTATGGCCTCCGCCTCTCCTTTGCGATGGTCAGCACAGTGGTTGGCCTCTCATGACCCCATAGCACATAGCTCGGGATGCTTGACTGCTCTTGAGATGAAAAGCACATGTCTGTGTTTTAGATGGATTAGGGATCAGCTGGTTTTCCCTGTAGTAGGCGGTAAGAGCACCTAGAGCTTCGGAGAGCTTCTGTTCAACCATCTCAATCTCCCTGCTTGAGCAGTGATGGCACGATCATCAGCATAGATGACGCTTTTAAATCGCAGTTCAGCCGTTCATTCAGTTTTCACCTCCTTTTTGTAGTTTTCCAGACCTCAATCTTAGGGTGGTGTCTTAAGTCTTGCCAGGCCCCGGTCTTACACCTTTCAGTCAATCCACACACTATATATATCTCAGAATGTATCTCAGAACATGGGTCTGGACTTGGGGCCTCTTGGCTCTGGTGGTTCCAGATGGATGGGGAGGGGGCTGCGCGGTGGGGTTCCTCCTTGCAAGCGACCAGCCTCTCTGACCGGCGGATCTGTCCCTCTTTCTTGCAGGTCACGTGGCTGCCCTTCCGCCGCCTCCTGCGCATCCTTCGGCCACCGAAGCCCTGCGGCCGACCCATCCCTCCATCGCGAAGCCGTGACGCCCACCACTCTGCAGCGGGGAAGCCGCCGGCCCCCTCCCTCACTCCCTCCCTCCTTCCTGGCGGACGAAGCCCCCTTAGGTTTGCATGCCCTGTCTCCATCGGAGCCCCACCGCCGGCCATCAGGCACGGACCCATCTCCGTCTCGGCGAGAGAGAGAGCCTTCCCAGGAGCGGACTCCGAGCCTCACCCTCGTCTTCACACCGGCAGCTTCGCTCATGACCTCTCACCCCTGCCTTGCACGTTGGGGGCATTTCCTCTCGTGCGACGGGACCACTCCACTCCTCCCCTGCAGGTGGTCGTTGGACGGTGTGCTTGTGTGTGTGCCTGGGGTGTCGTGCAGGTACCAAGTATGAAGTGGCCCCATTTCGTGGCAGCTGGAGCAGGTGTCACAAAGTATGGCCCCCGTGGTTGGGTCAGGGGGGAAAAGAGGAACATGACCCACAAGGAAGGACCTTCACCTTGGACACTTGGATGTCCTCCAACCCAACCCAATTGGATGGAAATTAGGCAGGATAGCACCTGGGGGATTGTGCCCCACCTTGTCTTGATGGGATGGGCTGCTAGCTAGATTTCCCTTGATGGGCATCCCTTGATGCCAGCCTTGATGCCAGGATGAGACATGGGGCAGTGAGGGAGGGACAGGCATGGGGAGAATGGCACACCTGGCTGCCTTGTTGCAGCAGTGAGTCGTGACACATGAGACTTGAGCCTCTTTGGAGTCACCCAGGTGAACCTCAACCTGAAGTCCTTCTTTTCCTTCCCTTCCTTCCCTCCTTCCTTCTTACCTACCTACTTTACTTAGGTGATACCTCGTAGTCCAAAGTTGAGGGAGGGACAGGCATGGGGAGAATGGCACACCTGGCTGCGTTGTTGCAGCAGTGAGTCGTGACACATGAGACGAGCCTCTTTGGAGTCATCCAGGTGAACTTCAACCTGAAGTCCTCCCTTTCCTTCCCTTCCTTCCTTCCTTCTTACCTACCCACTTTACTTAGGTGATACCTTGTAGTCCAAGGTTGAAGGAGGGACAGGCATGGGGAGAATGGCACACCTGGCTGCGTTGTTGCAGCAGTGAGCCGTGACACATGAGCTTTGAGCCTCTTTGGAGTCACCCAGGTGAACCTCAACCTGAAGTCCTTCCTTCCCTTCCCTTCCTTCCTTCTTACCTATCTACTTTACTTAGGTGATACCTCGTAGTCCAAGGTTGAGGGAGGGACAGGCATGGGGAGAATGGCACACCTGGCTGCGTTGTTGCAGCAGTGAGTCGTGACACATGAGACGAGCCTCTTTGGAGTCATCCAGGTGAACTTCAACCTGAAGTCCTCCCTTTCCTTCCCTTCCTTCCTTCCTTCTTACCTACCCACTTTACTTAGGTGATACCTTGTAGTCCAAGGTTGAAGGAGGGACAGGCATGGGGAGAATGGCACACCTGGCTGCGTTGTTGCAGCAGTGAGCCGTGACACATGAGCTTTGAGCCTCTTTGGAGTCACCCAGGTGAACCTCAACCTGAAGTCCTTCCTTCCCTTCCCTTCCTTCCTTCTTACCTATCTACTTTACTTAGGTGATACCTCGTAGTCCAAGGTTGAGGGAGGGACAGGCATGGGGAGAATGGCACACCTGGCTGCGTTGTTGCAGCAGTGAGTCGTGACACATGAGACTTGAGCCTCTTTGGAGTCACCCAGGTGAACCTCAACCTGAAGTCCTTCCTTCCCTTCCCTTCCTTCCTTCTTACCTATCTACTTTACTTAGGTGATACCTTGTAGTCCAAGGTTGAAGGAGGGACAGGCATGGGGAGAATGGCACACCTGGCTGCCTTGTTGCAGCAGTGAGTCTTGACACATGAGCCTTGAGCCTCTTTGGAGTCATCCAGGTGAACCTCAACCTGAAGTCCTTCCTTCCCTTCCTTTCTTATTACCTACCTACTTTACTTAGGTGATACCTTGTAGTCCAAGGTTGAGGGAGGGACAGGCATGGGGAGAATGGCACACCTGGCTGCCTTGTTGCAGCAGTGAGTCGTGACACATGAGCTTTGAGCCTCTTTGGAGTCACCCAGGTGAACCTCAACCTGAAGTCCTTCCTTTCCTTCCCTTCCCTTCCTTCCTTCCTTCCTTCCTTCCTTCCTTCCTTCCTTCCTTCCTTCTTACCTACCTACTTTACTTAGGTGATACCTCGTAGTCCAAGGTTGAGGGAGGGACAGGCATCAGGAGAATGGCACGCCTGGCTGCGTTGTTGCAGCAGTGAGTCGTGACACATGAGACTTGAGCCTCTTTGGAGTCATCCAGGTGAACCTCAATCTGAAGTCCTTCCTTCCCTTCCCTTCCTTCCTTCTTACCTATCTACTTTACTTAGGTGATACCTTGTAGTCCAAGGTTGATGGTCCTCCAAGTGATGTGGAGGACCATCGGTGGATACATAGGTGATTGTGGAGCCCTATTCTTAGCCAGCGTGTTCTCCCACAGTGAGGGCATTGGTTTCCAGGTGGAAGGCGGTCACGGTTGGACCTACCTACCTTTCTACCTATCTATCTTCAAGGGAGAACCTGTCGCTGAGCTTGTTCTGAGGAAGCTGGTTGAGCTGAACAGAGAGAAAGTGTTGGCACAACTGGCCTTGCCTTTGGAGACAAGCCGTTGTAGGCCAAAGAGGTCACCTTGTGCATGATTCCCTTCTTCCCCCACCCCCACCCCAAATAATACTGGGAGGAGAAGCCCCCAGGAAGAGCTTCTGTCTGCATTCCAGCCTTTGGAAAGCTCATCAATTTCCAAGATCATAGAATCATAGAATCAAAGAGTTGGAAGAGACCTCATGGGCCATTCAGTCCAATCCCATTCTGCCAAGAAGCAAGAATATTGCATTCAAAACACCCCTGACAGATGGCCATCCAGCCTCTGTTTAAAAGCTTCCAAAGAAGGAGCCTCTACCACACTCCAGGGCAGAGAGTTCCACTGCTGAACGGCTCTCACAGTCAGGAAGTTCTCCCTCATGTTCAGATGGAATCTCCTCTCTTGTAGTTTAGGCTTCCTTGTGTTCTTGGAGCCACAGTTCAGCTTTTCTGAATCCTATGTCCTTCGGATGGCTAGGACCATAACTCCCAGTAATCCTAGACATGCCGTCTAGAGGTGATGGGCACTGCAGTCCAACGTTTCTGCAGCTGGAGCAGCATTGGAGTCTTCGATAAGCCATGGATGGATGTGTCTGGAGAACCTGAGAGGTTCCATGATTATCTTTCCGTCTCCACTGTGGGAGGGGAGTAGCACACGCCGGATCATAGAAACAGAATCACAGAATCCTAGAGTTGGAAGAGACCTCCTGGGCCATCATCCAGTCCAACCCCATTCTGCCAAGAAGCAGGAATATTGCATTCAAATCACCCCTGACAGATGGCCATCCAGCCTCTGTTTAAAAGCTTCCAAAGAAGGAGCCTCCACCACACTCCGGGGCAGAGAGTTCCACTGCTGAACGGCTCTCACAGCCAGGAAGTTCTTCCTTATGTTCAGGTGGAATCTCCTCTCTGGCCTACCTCTGGTCAAGTTGACTTGGATGGGCAACCAGGCAAGACCCAGCCAGTTGCAAAAGAGCCAGAGCTGCAGCTCCTGCTGTGAGTTCAAAGCAGTCTGTTGGGGCCACCCGAGCCACGCTCCCTTGTCCTTCACCCAGTCTGGTTGGCCACCCTTTGTGGCAGCAGAATCCTGACATGGGCTCCTCCAGGGCCAAAGAGCCACTTCTTACTGGAGGATGCTCTGACCAGCTATTTTTTGGTCAGACCTTGAAAAGAAAGGCAGTTGAGTGGAGTCTGCACCCCGCATCTGCCATATGGGTGACCCCTGGGGTTGTGCTCCTGGATTGCCTCACCTGCAGCCCCGTATATTTCTCTGCCTACAAAGCCATCCGGCAGGTGCTTTGTGTTAGCGGAGCCGAGGAGGGGCCGGGACTTGGAGGAACGCCAGGTGCTGAACCTTCCCGAGAGGGAGAGGAAGGGGACAATCCATCCCCTTGGCCTCCCAAAGGGACTGAGGGGTGGCTTCGTTCACCTCCCCATACATGAGAGCGGAGACTTGCCTCGGAGAGGGCTTGCATCAGAGAATGGAAGGACTCCCAAGGGCCATCTAGTCCACCCCCTGCTTTGTAAAGAACGCACAGCCAAAGCATTCCTGAAAGAGGTCCATCCAACCTCTCGCAAAAGACTTCCCAAGATGGCAAGTCCCCTCTCTGTCACTGCATCAAGAACTTCTCCCTGTTGGGTGGTTGTAGGTTTTTCCGGGCTATATGGCCATGTTCTAGAGGCATTCTCTCCTGACGTTTTGCCTGCATCTATTGCAAGCATCCTCAGACATAGTGAGGCCTGTTGGATATATAAATACAGATATATAAACCCTTTTTCCTAGTTCCAACAGACCTCACTACCTCTGAGGATGCTTGCCATAGATGCAGGCGAAACATCAGGAGAGAATGCCTCTAGAACATGGCCGTATAGCCCGAAAAAACCTACAACAACCAGTGATTACGGCCATGAAAGCCTTAGATAATACTGTTGTTTCATTAGAATCTCTTGCCACATAGACCCATGGGTTTGTGTTTGAGTATCTGGAGAAGCAACGGAAAGGAAGGCATTTCCATCTTCTGTGTGACATCCTTTCCAGAATTTGAAGATGGCTGTCATGTTGGCTCCCAGTCTTTTCCAATCTGAGTATAATGTTTCTCAGTCATTCCTCTCAAGGTGAGGTCTCCAGAACTTGGATCCTCTTTGTTGCCATCCCAGCTTGTTCATAGTTTTCGGGGCATTGGCCATTTTGGTGGCCCTTAGAATCATAGAATGATAGAATCAAAAAGTTGGAAGAGACCTCATGGGCCATCCAGTCCAACCCCCTGCCAAGAAGCAGGAATATTGCATTCAAATCACCCCTGACAGATGGCCATCCAGCCTCTGTTTAAAAGCTTCCAAAGAAGGAGCCTCCCCCACACTCCAGG